ATACACATACGTGAAATAAGTTACCTGGAGCATGGAAGGCGAGGACATGAAATGAAGGGGTCTACAAACATTACATTGGTGACATACTGAGATAGTAACAGGCACGCGCTTATTGGCCGCGCTCCATCCAGTTACTGAGGGGTTGTGCAATCAGAGGGGAGGCTGAGCTCGTCGCTGCCTCACCTCTCGTCTCTTCCTGTTTTTGCAGCGGAGCTCTGCAAATTTGGCGATTTTGACTCTAAAAATAATTGGAATCGTACAGAAATGACATTTATAACGCAGATCAGTGGAAAAATCTTAACATTTATTTGATTTGGTTATTCTTTTTTTTACTTTTCGTAACAGCTATTTTCATTGTAGTATGACAGGTGAGGCTCTGCCTCCCCTGCCTCCCCTGGCCGCACGTCCCTGGCACGTACAGTACAATATGATATTACAAGGTAAAATAGTCCGATTCACCACGTGCGTTCCTAGTAAAAAAAAATGCTCAAAACCGGCATGTCGTCCCCTCACCTCATGCACCTCGGCCATATGGGCCTCCCTCTCTTCCCCTAAACCTCGACGTCAGAGCCGTCATCCCAGCGGCCTTGGTGGATCCTCGGGACCGATGTGACATCCCCCCCGCCGCCCGCACCACCTCCGCAACTCCACCAACTCCACCCCCACCCCATATCACCATCCCACTCACCTTTCTCGCCACTGCCCCACCCGCCATAAACCTCCATTATTTTTCATAACAAGAGTTGTATTATATTATTGTGTTGGCAGGGCACTCTGTAAGGGGGATGCAAGGGGGTTTGTATCTATGGTATGGGATTGTAACCTCGTCGGTCAGCTCGGTAATTTTCGGTTAATTCGCGTTGCTCTCCATGCCCCCCCCCCTAACTATACTCATGTATCTCGGGCTCACAGGACCCTGTCTAGGATAGATTACTTCTTAATCTCTAAGACCCTCCTCCCTCCGGTCTAAAAAGTAAGGATACTTGACCAACAGCTTTTTTACCACTGTCCTGTTCTTACGCAGTTTATTCTAGACCCCACTGAAAAATTCCATAGCACATGGTCCCTGGACACCAGATTACTGAAGGATGCGGGCCTATTAACGAGAATCATAAATGAGGCCACTAGTTTCATGGAAATAAACTTGAGATCATACCCCCCAACCTCCATCCTGGTGGTCTGGGATGCCATTAGGGGCATTTTAATCTCAGAACGGGGTCTGGAGGAAGAAAGAAAGGACCAGAACCATCCTAGAACTGGAGGAGAAACTGAATGAGAAACATCGCCGATTCAAGACAACCCAATATCGTGCGGTCCAAGGGGAGGTGAATAGACTAAAGCTGGAACTAGACAAGGTGTTAAATGGCCAAACCTCCCTCCTCTTTATAAGGGACAAGATTTCCTTCTACGACCCCTCTCCCTCCAAGACCAAGCTCTTAACCCGGCTGGTCAAGGGCAAGCAAACTCATAACCACATTTCTGGGATCAAGGACGCCGATGGGCGCCTCAGGATGAGGGTTATGGAGGTTAATGAGAAGTTTTGCAGCTTCTGCAAGGACGCTATAGTCCTACATGTCCATGTTGGCTGTCTGTCCGAACCGCCTATCCAGCTATGCACCACTGACCTGTCACGGAAGTTGTACACCCACACCTCTTCCCCCCCCCCCCCCCCCCCCCCCCGTGGTTGGATCAATAAAAATAATTTACAAAAAAATACCTCAGCATTGTTTTGAACTTAAAAAAGGATGAATATGCTAAACATTACTCACAAGGACATATTTTCCCAAATTATTGGCAACATATATGAGAAACAACACGTAACATGGAAACTTACAGCAGGGGGTTCCTGCATATGTATTAGAAACAAAGTTTTTATGGTTGGTTGGCTGGAGGAAGAGATAGTCACGTTCAAAGGACGTGCGGGCTGCTAGACTTGAAATAGAGTCCTACAACGCAGCGTGGCTCTCTTGGGTAAATCCGTACATTATAAGATTGTACTCGTGCAGTCAACCCTGCAGTAGCAGCAGCGGCACGGAGTGGGTTCCTGAGCCCGGTCTCGGTGCTGCGAGCCCGGGAGGAGTGAATTGCGGCCCTGGCAGAGTGGATCTGCAGATTCCATGACCTGGTGGAGATTACGGCAAGATAGAGGAGCAGCCCGCACATGTCCTTCAAACGTGTACGTGTCTCCACATGTGCTTCATATACATCCCGTCAACAACACGGGAGTACGTAATTTCAGCAAGATTGGTTCGACATTCGGTGTCTCATCAGCAGCAGAATCAGGCTGCTTGCTCAGACCAACGCTTGTGAAACGGCCTGATGTTGATAGGCAAGGACCCCTTTCTTTAACCCTGGCATTTGACCCGCATTGGTCCAAGCAAGCAGCCTTGACTGCTGATGAGATAATGGTGCCACGGTGGCAAGATGTTAACTACCTCGTCTGGTATGCATGAGGTTGTGAGTTCGATCCCGACCCTCACGACTGCTGTAGTTTGCATATTTTCTCCACGGTTGTGTGGATTTTTCTCCGGGTCCTCAGGGTTTCCCCTCCACATTTAGAAACATGAGTTTAGAGTATTTGTATGCAAAACATTTCCACATAAGTCACTTTGTTGAGCTTTCATTTGTGGCCAGGTCGCTTCTGAAAAAGAAGCTAATGGCTCAGTGTGCCTTTGATTTGCATATATTTTAAAGTGATTTATTTGCCTTGCTTATAATTTTCACTCATATCATGTTTTGTATTATTTGTCGTTGTAACGTGCTGACCTGTCTCTACTGGGCATCTGTGAGAAAGTTTAATCACTCATCTGATTCCTCCAGTATAAATAAATATTCTGATTCTGAAGGGATCTGTGGTTGACCCTATCCTGTTTTCTCTGTATGCCAACAACCTAGTCATTTTTAATCTGCACCCTGACAGGAACAGCTTTGCTAATGACACAACCCTGATGACTTCGAGATATTCCAGAAATCATCTACAGCAGGACTTCGGTTATCTTCGACTTTAACTTAATGCCCTAACGCTGGTCTTCAATGCTAAAAAAGACCAACGTTATCTTATTCTCCGGCTGCCCTAAACTTGTCTCGCCTCCTATGCATATCGTGGCTCTGGACCCGCACCTTATTGAGCAGGTTGACAACTTTAAATACCTTGTCGTTAACCTGGACTCGACAGTGTATTTCACCTCGATTTCGCTTGAATATAGTTCATGCCACCATCCTGCCCATATTTGATGGCTGTGACACCATCTACCACCTAGCTTCTGAATCGACCTTAAAACGTCCTGTTCCATTATACCACTCCACTCTCCGTTTTGCCCTTGACGCCCCCTATAAAAATTCTCATTGCAACCCGTATGTATGCACCGTATGTTGAAATTCTTTAGCATCGTACGTAGCCAACCGCGCTAATCGGAGGTGCCTGTACGTTAACCAAAATCTGCCTCCAAGAAAATCCGGAGGTTGTCACTGTTCCGTTTTCATCGCAAAGATCGCCTTAAACATCTGCTAATTACCAAAAGGATCACTTCGTTCCTCTGAACTCAATCCCGTAGCTTCAGAAGTGCCTCCTATTCCCCCCCCCCCCCCAAAAAAAAAAACATTTGCTTTAAGTTGTTTGGTAAAAAAATATATTCACAGCGTTGCTGCTCAACGTTTCTGGAACAGCGTTGGCCCCTTCATCTACAGCTCCGTTCCCTGCCTTCACTCCCCCGCTTGATCTCCATATCAGGCCAAGATCACAGCGCTCACTTGCACCTGCGACTAACTTTCATCTTGCGCCACTTGCACCCATATGTTTTCGTTACTCTTTATAGATTTGCGTGTTTGTCACGGTTAGATTAGCATACAAAGCTTCACCTGATGAAGGCCGCTTGCGTTGTGGCCGAAACGTCGTGATTTTTTATTTTATTTTCACCTACGTGACTTTACCCAATAGAACCAAAGAGCTTACTTGCACGTGTACCTAATCAATTTTTTCTGCTGAGATTATATTTTCACTGTATTTTCTTTTTTGTATCCGCGTGTTTATCTAACGACCATTATTCAACCCAGTGTTTTGTGCGATACATGTATTCGTTCTCGAGTGATGACCGGAAAGTTGGCTAAACGGGGAACCCTGCGCGTACACAAATCACCTAAACGTCAACTCGATATCGTGACATCGCAGCCAATTTAATCGATGTATATATAATCACGTCGATTCCTGGATCGCGTGGTGGTGGGGGGGGCAGACACCCCCGGTCCCATGATCAGTCACGTGCTCCCCGTGTCGCCACTGAATCGATTTACCACTTTAGATTCCTGCCGTAGATTCAAAAAACCCACATCGCGAGTGCAAGGAATCGGTGTTTGTGAAGAATCGATAAATCGATGCCGCCCAAATTAGGAGTGGCTCTAAACAGCTGCTGGCTGTGGTGCCAGGCCAGAGCGGGAGCGTGCAGGGAGAGTTGGGGACAACAGGGAACGTAGGGGGAGAGTGAGACGGGTATTGAGGGAGATTATGGGTGAGTGAGATCATGATTTAGCGAGCAGAGGGTGGGCGAGGCAGGGGTTAGGGTGAAGTGACACGGGGCTGGCGTGGGAGCGCAGGGTTCGAGTGAGCGCCTGGATAGGAGTGGTTGTTGTGGCTGTGTGTGATTCGTGTGTGTGTTATTGTGCGAGTCTGTAATTGTGTGTGAGAGAGGGAGTGTCGCTGTGCGTGCTGTTTTGTGAATCTCTTGCGTGTGCGAGTCTCTGCGGCTGTGTATTGTGTGAGAGTCTGTGTGTGAGTGCCTCTCTGTGTGAGTGAGTCTGTGTGTGTCTCTGTGTGTGTGTCTGTGTGTCTCTGTGTGTGTGTCTGTGAGTCTCTCTGTGTGTGCCTCTCTGTGTGAGTCTCTCTGTGCGAGTCTCTCTCTGTGTGAGTCTCTCTGTGTGAATCTCTCTCTGTGCGAGTCTCTGTGTGTGTCTCTCCGTGTGTGTCTCTGTGTCTCTCTGTGTGCGAGCCTCTCTGTGTGCGAGTCTCTCTGTGTCTCTGTGTGTGCCTCTCTGTGTGAGTCTCTCTCTGTGCGAGTCTCTCTGTGTGTCTCTCTGTGTGAGTCTCTCTGTGCGAGTCTCTCTGTGTGCGAGTCTGTGGCTGCGTCTCGTGATCAGTAGCAGCGCTGGACACAGCGATTTAGCGCCTCCGATTCGCACGGTTGGCCACGTACAGTGCGAAAGAAGTTCAACATACAGAGCCAGGCCGGGGAGCGGGGTCCCAGGGCCAGCACCGGCGCTAGCTTGCCCGAGTGTTTGGGGTCTCTAGGGCACGGGTTGGCGTTCGGGGTCTCTAGGGCACGGGTTGGTGGTGTTCGGGGTCTCTAGGGCACGGGTTGGCGTTTGGGGTCTCTAGGGCACGGGTTGGTGGTGTTCGGGGTCTCTAGGGCACGGGTTTGGGTTCGGGGTCTCTAGGGCACCATTTGGTGTTCGGGGTCTCTAGGGCACGGGTTGGTGTTCGGGGTCTCTAGGGCACGGGTTGGTGTTTTGGGTCGGGGTTGGAGCCGGTGCTGGGCGGTGGCTTCGTGGCTGGGCGCGCGCCTGGAGCGGAGCGAATGGAGGGCGTGAAGCTGAAAGATCGGATCCTGGAGAACATCTCCTGGTCCATCAAGAAGGTGCGGAACCACCACCCCCTGGTGACCCCCTGGCGACCCCCTGGTGACCCCCTGGCGACCCCCTGGTGATCCCGTGCGGAGCCGGCCCAGCGGCCCCTAGCCACATTTGGCCCGGTGCCCTTGGTGTGACGCAGTGAAGTGTGTTGTGTTCCCTCGTGTTGTGTTCCCTCGTTGTGGTCTCGCGTTGTGCCCTGTTCTCGTGTTGTGTTCTCCGCGTCCTGGCGTCTCGCGTTGCGCTCTCGTGTCGCGAGACGTCATCCCGCGAGTCAGCGACCCCGCAGTCCCCTCACATCGCAAACTCCTCACAGACTCCTCACAGACTCCTCACAAACTCCTCACAGACTCCTCACAGACTCCTCACAGACTCCTCACAGACTCCTCACAAACTCCTCACAGACTCCTCACAGACTCCTCACAAACTCCTCACAGACTCCTCACAAACTCCTCACAAACTCCTCACAAACTCCTTACAGACTCTTCACAAACTCCTCACAGACTCCTCACAAACTCCTCACAGACTCCTCACAGACTCCTCACAGACTCCTCACAGACTCCTCACATCACAAACTCCTCACAGACTCCTCACAGACTCCTCACATCGCTCACTCCTCACAGACTCCTCACAGACTCCTCACAGACTCCTCACAGACTCCTCACAAACTCCTCACAGTCTCCTCACAGACTCCTCACAAACTCCTCACAGACTCCTCACAGATTCCTCACAGACTCCTCACAGACTCCTCACAGACTCCTCACAGACTCCTCACAGACTCCTCACAGACTCCTCACAGACTCCTCACAGACTCCTCACAGTCTCCTCACAGACTCCTCACAGACTCCTCACAGTCTCCTCACAGACTCCTCACAGACTCCTCACAGACTCCTCACAAACTCCTCACAGACTCCTCACAGACTCCTCACAAACTCCTCACAAACTCCTCACAGACTCCTCACAGACTCCTCACAGACTCCTCACAGACTCCTCACAGACTCCTCACAGACTCCTCACAGTCTCCTCACAGACTCACAAACTCCTCATCGCAAACTCCTCACAGACTCCTCACAGACTCCTCACAAACTCCTCACAGTCTCCTCACATCGCAAACTCCTCACAGACTCCTCACAGACTCCTCACAGACTCCTCACAAACTCCTCACAGACTCCTCACAGACTCCTCACAGACTCCTCACAGACTCCTCACAGACTCCTCACAAACTCCTCACAGACTCCTCACAAACTCCTCACAGACTCCTCACAGACTCCTCACAGACTCCTCACAAACTCCTCACAGACTCCATCACAAACTCCTCACAGACTCCTCACAGACTCCTCACAGACTCCTCACAGACTCCTCACAGACTCCTCACAGACTCCTCACAGACTCCTCACAGACTCCTCACAGACTCCTCACAAACGCCTCACAGACTCCTCACAAACTCCTCACAGACTCCTCACAGACTCCTCACAAACTCCTCACAGACTCCTCACAGACTCCTCACAGACTCCTCACAGACTCCTCACAGTCTCCTCACAGACTCCTCATCGCAAACTCCTCACAAACTCCTCACAGACTCCTCACAGACTCCTCACAAACTCCTCACAGTCTCCTCACATCGCAAACTCCTCACAGACTCCTCACAGACTCCTCACAGACTCCTCACAGACTCCTCACAGACTCCTCACAGTCTCCTCACAGTCTCCTCACAGACTCCTCACAGACTCCTCACAGACTCCTCACAGACTCCTCACAGACTCCTCACAGACTCCTCACAGACTCCTCACAGACTCCTCACATCGCTCACTCCTCACAGACTCCTCACAGACTCCTCACAGACTCCTCACAGACTCCTCACAGTCTCCTCACAGACTCCTCACAGACTCCTCACAGACTCACAAACTCCTCATATCGCAAACTCCTCACAAACTCCTCACAGACTCCTCACAGACTCCTCACAGACTCCTCACAAACTCCTCACAAACTCCTCACAGACTCCTCACAGACTCCTCACAGACTCCTCACAAACTCCTCACAGACTCCATCACAAACTCCTCACATACTCCTCACAGACTCCTCACAGACTCCTCACAGACTCCTCACAGACTCCTCGCAGACTCCTCGCAGACTCCTCACAGACTCCTCACAGACTCCTCACAGTCTCCTCACAGACTCCTCACAGACTCCTCACACCGTAGACTCCTCACAAACTCCTCGCATCAGACTCCTCACAGACTCCTCACAGACTCCTCACAGACTCCTCACAGACTCCTCACTCCTCACATCACAGACTCCTCACAGACTCCTCACAGACTCCTCACAGACTCCTCACAAACTCCTCACAGACTCCTCACAGACTCCTCACAGACTCCTCGCAGACTCCTCGCAGACTCCTCGCAGACTCCTCACAGACTCCTCACAGACTCCTCACAGACTCCTCACAGACTCCTCACAAACTCCTCACAGACTCCTCACATCGCTCACTCCTCACAGACTCCTCACAGTCTCCTCACAGACTCCTCACAGACTCCTCACAGACTCCTCACAGACTCCTCACAGACTCCTCACAGACTCCTCACAGTCTCCTCACAGACTCCTCACAGACTCCTCACAGACTCACAAACTCCTCATATCGCAAACTCCTCACAAACTCCTCACAGACTCCTCACAGACTCCTCACAGACTCCTCACAAACTCCTCACAAACTCCTCACAGACTCCTCACAAACTCCTCACAGACTCCTCACAGACTCCTCACAGACTCCTCACAAACTCCTCACAAACTCCTCACAGACTCCTCACAGACTCCTCACAGACTCCTCACAGTCTCCTCACAGACTCCTCACAGACTCCTCACACCGTAGACTCCTCACAAACTCCTCGCATCAGACTCCTCACAGACTCCTCACAGACTCCTCACAGACTCCTCACAGACTCCTCACTCCTCACATCACAGACTCCTCACAGACTCCTCACAGACTCCTCACAGACTCCTCACAGACTCCTCACAAACTCCTCACAGACTCCTCACAGACTCCTCACAGACTCCTCGCAGACTCCTCGCAGACTCCTCGCAGACTCCTCGCAGACTCCTCACAGACTCCTCACAGACTCCTCACAGACTCCTCACAAACTCCTCACAGACTCCTCACATCGCTCACTCCTCACAGACTCCTCACAGTCTCCTCACAGTCTCCTCACAGACTCCTCACAGACTCCTCACAGACTCCTCACAGACTCCTCACAGACTCCTCACAGACTCCTCACAGACTCCTCACAGTCTCCTCACAGACTCCTCACAGACTCCTCACAGACTCACAAACTCCTCATATCGCAAACTCCTCACAGACTCCTCACAGACTCCTCACAGACTCCTCACAAACTCCTCACAAACTCCTCACAGACTCCTCACAAACTCCTCACAGACTCCTCACAGACTCCTCACAAACTCCTCACAAACTCCTCACAGACTCCTCACAGACTCCTCACAGACTCCTCACAGACTCCTCACAGTCTCCTCACAGACTCACAAACTCCTCATCGCAAACTCCTCACAAACTCCTCACAGACACCTCACAGACTCCTCACAAACTCCTCACAGTCTCCTCACATCGCAAACTCCTCACAGACTCCTCACAGACTCCTCACAGACTCCTCACAGACTCCTCACAAACTCCTCACAGACTCCTCACAGACTCCTCACAGACTCCTCACAGACTCCTCACAGACTCCTCACAGACTCCTCACAGACTCCTCACAGACTCCTCACAGACTCCTCACAAACTCCTCACAGACTCCTCACAGACTCCTCACAAATTCCTCACAGACTCCTCACAGACTCCTCGCAGACTCCTCGCAGACTCCTCGCAGACTCCTCGCAGACTCCTCGCAGACTCCTCGCAGACTCCTCGCAGACTCCTCGCAGACTCCTCGCAGACTCCTCACAGTCTCCTCACAGACTCCTCACAGACTCCTCACACCGTAGACTCCTCACAAACTCCTCGCATCAGACTCCTCACAGACTCCTCAGACTCCTCACAGACTCCTCACAGACTCCTCACAGACTCCTCACAGACTCCTCACAGACTCCTCACAGACTCCTCACTCCTCACATCACAGACTCCTCACAGACTCCTCACAGACTCCTCACAGACTCCTCACAGACTCCTCACAGACTCCTCACAGACTCCTCACAAACTCCTCACAGACTCCTCACAGACTCCTCACAGACTCCTCACAAACTCCTCACAGACTCCTCACAGACTCCTCACATCACAGACTCCTCACAGATTCCTCACAGACCCCTCACAGACTCCTCACAGACTCCTCACAGACTCCTCACAGACTCCTCACAGACTCCTCACAGACTCCTCACAGACTCCTCACAGACTCCTCACAAACTCCTCACAGACTCCTCACAGACTCCTCACGGACTCCTCACGGACTCCTCACTCCTCACAGACTCCTCACAGACTCCTCACAGACTCCTCACAGACTCCTCACAGACTCCTCACAGACACCTCACATCACAAACTCCTCACAGACTCCTCACAGACTCCTCACATCGCAGACTGCTCACAGCACAGACTCCTCAAAGTCCCCTCACAGACTGCTGAGGTCTATGTGGACGGGCAGATCGTGAGGTTGGTGTGGAGGGGCAGGTCGTGAAGTCGGTGTGGACGGGCAGGTCGTGAAGTCGGTGTGGAGGGGCAGATCGTGAGGTTGGTGTGGAGGGGCAGGTCGTGAGGTTGGTGTGGAGGGGCAGGTCGTGAGGTTGGTGGGGAGGGGCAGGTCGTGAGGTTGGTGTGGAGGGGCAGATCGTGAGGTTGGTGTGGAGGGGCAGGTCGTGAGGTTGGTGGGGAGGGGCAGGTCGTGAGGTTGATGTGGAGGGGCAGGTCGTGAGGTCGGTGAGGAGGGGCAGATCGTGAGGTTGGTGTGGAGGGGCAGGTCGTGGGATCGGTGTGGAGGGGCAGGTCGTGAAGTTGGTGTGGCGGGGCATGTCGTGA